GAGAAAATAACACAGAAATTGTTTATCAACTCCTGCTTTTGTGGGACTTTGCCTGCGTGTGTAGGGAGGTATTTATAGGGGTCTCAGTGCACCACAGTTGAAACGGGGGCAAAATAACCGACCTGATGTTTTCTCTTTGGCCGCTGCAGTCTACACTACCGCGGCTATTGGCGTGGCAGTATAGACTGCCGCGGACAAAGGAGCGGTTATCGCCACGTTCCATTGTGTTTGAAACTGCTCTCCCACGACCTTTAACCACTTTTTTCGTGGTTTAACTGCTTGTCCACGTCAGCACACGTTCTATTTCTGATATGCTGCCACGTGGGCTTTAAAAAATCATCATACAACTGTCTTGTAACCGCCGCAGCACCCCTTGTAATAGCCGCGGCACCATAGGCTACCGCGTCTTAGCCGCGGTACCATAGGTTACCGCGCATTAACCGCGGCACCATGGGCTGCCGCGCCGTCATGTACTGCCTGTTGGTGTGTACATTGTTCTTCCATGTTATTTCGCTTCCTTTGAATCATCCCCTTCTGATTAAGAGAGTGGCGTTTATCGTCTTCTCTTTGCCTTGAGTGGTATTTGGATGTCTGTAAGCATTTTTTGACGCCTACACTAGCGCTTGAGAAATTCCACATCAACGATAATGGATCAGATATGTTGACAAAGTCAATACCAAGGGAGCTCGTTATTTGTTGTTTGATTGCCAGAATAGACACCACCTCCACATAGGCAGGAGGGGGAGGTTTGTCAGGTTTCCCATCTATGTGAATGATGGCCCAAAGTTATATTCGATGTCTTATGTTGTAGACCGAATGGTTTGAGTTTTAACTAAAGCCTATCTACTTGAACTATTGTTATGCCTCTCCTAAGTGTGGGTTAGATCAGATTGAGAGGGATAGATTTTCATAAGAGAGAAAGGTGAAAGAACCCAAACAGATAGTGCTCATCCCTGTAGTTTTTCTACTAGAACAACAACCATCAACTTGACGATCAGAGGTTTATCAGTGGTCTAATCGAGCTAAAATTTAGTGAGTAGGTAGAAGCCTCATCAGACTTTATTTTGAATGGTTAGATCATCGATCAATTATCTATAGCTTCAGGATCTTGGCTCCAAATAGAAGCTAAATTTCTGGGTGAGATTTTCAGTTTCTCTTTGTTTTGTGAGGTTGATTTTATTGTTGTTGGAGTTGGGGTCGTGTACCCATTGTGTGAGCTTGGATAAGATTTCTTGTAACCTATTTTTATTATAGTGGAGCTCTTGAGAAAGACTCTTAGTCCCATGGATTTTCTTTCTGATTTTGAGGGGTTTTCCATGTAAAAATCTAGTGTTCTTTGTGATTGTGGTTGCTGTTATTGGTTGTTTCATATTTGCAATCATTCATTCCTAGTCTCACATTTGATCTTAGGCTTTAGATCATCTCTTTAGTTTTTAACACTTGTACGAGCAGATTTAATAGACGATTTGTACTTAAGATTAGAAGGAGGTAATAGGGGTCGAGAGATGAATTAGGATTCAACAAGAGAGAGAGAGAGAGAGAGAGAGAGAGAGAGAGAGAGAGAGAGAGAGAGAGAGAGAGAGAGAGAGCGCGCGAGAGAGAGAGAGAGAGAGAGAGAGAGAGAGAGAGAGAGAGAGAGACCTTGATCATAATTCTTGGAGGTCAGAGACAAAATTGTGTGAAAGAGAAGAGAAGTGTTGTTTCCTAAATACCTAGCTGTAGACTAAATTTTGAAATCCAAAGTTTTAGGTCTTCAAATCCATACTATAAAATGTCCTGATTTGTAATCCAAGCCCAAAATAAAACCCAAACGTGGAATTCGTATCCGAAATACCTTAGATTCTAAATCCAATGCCCAAATCAAGTTTCCCACACATCCTATATATATTTTCTCTACAGGTTAATTGTCTTTTTATAATTTTTTAAGTGAAAAAAAGAAAGAAAAATAAAAGAAATATCAAGAAAAATAGAAATTGTAAGGGATGTAAGCATTGGGATACTCCTCTTCATTTCCATTCTCGTGCTTGCATCGTCGTCTACAAGCAATATTAGATATATTAATGAATGCATTCATTACTGCTCCAACCCTCATGAAGACTGCAAGAATATTGTCGCCTTGATTGTATGCACACTATCTTGGTACCATGTAAAATAATATGCATGTGTGCATGAGAGCATATATATATAGCATATTCTCTGAACCTTTTAGAGTCAAGTTCCTGTTATTAGATTTGATTGATTTTTTGGTTTGATATATGTTGTATTATGTTATTTCATTATTCTCATTTTAATGAAGGATATTAGTAAAGCTTTATTTCTACTCTCTTCTTGTTTTACTTCATATACATATATATAATGGGGAATTATGAGTTCCTCCACAAACTTAGCTAGTATGGCATTGATATTAAGTACATTTGAGTTGTGTAATTTAGGTGTCTCTATGAGATTGAATTGTAGTTGTCTGAATATATGTCATGTCAACAACAAATTAGCCAAACTTTTATAACCTTTTACTTAATTTCTATTTAACCTACCAAATCTCAAATATCATATTTTTGGTCTGGTTTCTAGTTAAATTGATGGAAAAGTTAACTTATTATGACATGGTTCTTCCAATATGACATCTTAATGAATAAAAACATTTGAACTTTTAAGAGGATGGAATGAAAATAAATATTTTAGATGGTACATTTTACTACGCCCTTATACAGGGGTTATGACTAGTGTGGGCAGTGAGATCAACTGTGCCCACTAAACTTGAGGGCGAAGGGAGCAGAAATGTTATTTTTGCTGGAGGTGTTTGTTGTGCTCACAAGAAAGAAAACAAGAAGAAGGAGGGGTTGAAGATGAAGATGAAGGAGAGGTTGAAGATGAATAGTAACACACTTTGGGAATTTGGCATTTGAGAACTAAATTTAGTTATAGGTTTTGTATCTTAGTGAACTTCAATTGACCATGTTATTTAAGTTGGAGGCTTTGGTGTTGTCCCTTTGCTCTAACAAAGGTGGGAGCTTGGGTTTTCTTATTTTGTCCATTTTGTGAAAAATAATGAGCAGATTTTGTTAAGAATAGAACTTTTGGGAGAAAAAGGACATATTAGTAGAAATAGACTTATTTTATTCATTGTATTGAAAGGTTTAAATATAAGAGCAAAAGAAGAGGTTTTAGTATCCTAGGTGATGTGGGACTAAAGAAAGGGATACAATATGCCCAATAACTATATATATAACACCTCCTGTCAAACTCACAGTCGGTAGAGAACTGAGACTTTGGATCAGACGAGCCAAATTTGCATAGATGGTTATCGGCGTGGCTTGGCGAGAGGTGGTTGAATTAGAGCACATCAGTGGCTAGAATTGTAGGATGCGAGATCATGTTATTGCAGTGGTGATCGATAGTCATGCACCATGGTTGCAAGAGGACGGACCTGCAATCGCGGGAGAAGGTGCAGTGACTGGATCTTGCAAGCAGCAAGGTATGATGTTGCAATAGTGATCGGTGTTCACGCACAGTGGCAGAGAGAGGGCGGACCTATGGTCACAGCAGGAGGCATGGTGACAGGATCTTGCAAGCATCAATGATCTGAAAACACTTGGCTGGAGAGAGCTTGGCCCGAGGCTGGCCAAGGAGGGAGAAATCTCACAAAGGAAATTCGTCGAACATTTTGTGTGCATGCGATGAAGCGGATGAACAATATAGTTATGCCAAGTGGGTCTGGGGAGATCTAATTGATTAGACTAAATGTTTAGCTGAAGATCTTTAAAGATCTAATTTGTAGGTCAAATGATTGGCACAAGATCTATAAAGATCTAATCGGTAAGCCAAATGATTAGCGCAAGATCTATGAAGATCTAGTTGGTAAGCCAAATGGTTAGTATAAGATCTATGAAGATCTAGTTGGTAAGACAAGTGATTGGTGCAAAGCTCTATGAAGATCTAGTTCACAAGCTAAATAATTGGCGTAAGATCTGTAAAGATCTTGGTTGAATCCAATATCGAGGCCGCCGAGAGGAAGCGCAGAGTTTTCAGCAAAACCCCCTCGACGACTCAACGTAGAGGAAGAAGAAGGAGCTCTCTTTGGGATCAAGAAAATGACTCTAGTACCATGTTAAGAATAAAGCTTTTGGGAGAAAAAGGATATATTAGTAGAAAGAGACTTATTTTATATATCGTATTGAAAGGTTTAAATATAAGAGCAAGAGAAGAGGTTTTAGTATCCTAGACGACGTGACACTAAAGAAAGGGATACAATATGCCCAATAACTATATTTAACAGAGTAAACTGATAAAAGGAAATAGTAAACATGGTTTGCTTGGAGAATTAGATGACTAAAATTGATTTTAGAAACAAGATAAGATTGGAGAATTAGATGACTAAAATTGATTTTAGAAACAAGATAAACTAAGTTAAAAAATGAAACAATATAAGGATATATATAAGACAAAAGATAAACTAGGGTTAGAAGAGCTTTTCTATTGTAAACTTGGAAATTCAAATTAACGGCATCATACCATATCTCATGCCCACCATAATAGAATTCTATCACTACTAAATTTTAAAGAGAAAGAAACCTCCATTCCAACTACAATCCAAACTAAAAAATAACTCTATCACAAAATTGAAAATCAAATCAAAGTCCTAGAATTTAAATTAAAACTTCATAACTTTATTCATGATTTTTCTTATAGTCTGACTACAATGAAAAACATAATCTATTTTTATAGGATTTAATATTCTATCGCTACTAAATTTTAAAGAAAGAAACTTCCATTCCAACTACAATTCAAAGTGAAAAATAACTCTATCATAAAATAAAAAAAATCAAATTAAAGTCCAAGAATTTAAATTAAAACTAAACTCTAAAAAATTCAAATATAGAAATTCATATATTAGTTATACTCGTGGTCTTGCCCCCACTGACTGACTAAATTTATGAATCGGCCCCTACTCTCATGGAACAGAGCACAACACTTACCAATCTTATCAACAATTAATAATGTGCATCATTAATCTCACGTTTCCAATATATGGAATTGCTGGATTTAACTAGGCTAGGCCCAAAAGATTAAGGCCCACTGGGCTGTAATAGCAACATCCAACCCAATGAGTGCTTATATTTATTAAAGATAAAGAGTCCATGAGTAACACACGAACAAACTTTACAGACCCAAAGAGCGCGACGCTTTCAATCAATCGAAACAAGCCTGATATATCTCTCAACAATCATGTCCTGCGAAAAATCAGTGAAGTACCCTTTCTCCACCTCCAGGCCTTCTTGGGCCGCAATGAGCTCAACCCGGGCTTGAACCTGGTCTGCGCCAACCTGTTTCGAGTCCAACAACATGCACGCGATCTCGATCGAGTCATCTCCGTGGACCAAGGCGAGGGCTTGAACCGAGGGAAGCCCACCACCGCGGGCACTGACGGACCGTGCTATCCTTTTCACGGTTGCTATATCGGTCGATAGAAATGGGATGTTAAATGTATCGATCCACGGGCTTGCTCCGATGACTGCTATTCCTCTAGCCCTATTAACATTAACGGATCCTTCGTCGGGTGCTATGGGGAGAATATCCGGGAGGGCCCACCCGGCCCATTGACTGCCCATGAAGTTGGGCCTGTAGTATCCGAGCTCACGACGGATTGCATCTAGGGCTTTGTTATCCGGGTGGGCTGCTTCATATAAGAAAACTGGGACTGCAATTTGCAAAGTGACAATCATACACAAAATGATTCTTTATAAAATATAGCAATATTACCAAGAAAACTAATAACTACTGTTTTTTTTTCCTTATATTCAATTATTAGTTTTCTCACTACTTTTTTTTGTTATAAAAAAAATAGTAGTTAGAAAACTAATAACTAAAGAAGGGAAAACATACTTGTCTACATACGTATTAATCTAGTGGACCTGATGTCCAATTATATGTGAATGAATTATGATTCTTTCAATGATGGTAATCAACAATTATGATAAAATCAATCTAATTGTAAAGGATATTTAGCTACTTATCATCCTTATTTGATTTTATTTACGTATATATCTCCTAACAGTGTAATGACATTATTTTCCCGTTAATTCCTAAACTCACGTGGAAAATCTCATCAAATTGTTCTCAGCAAACGTTGCAATTCTGAGTTTTTCGCGGCATCTCATAATCATAAACTAACGGAAACGCAGTCAAACGTATACCAAAACTATACGATTGTGATGAGTGGTTGAGGGTTATAATGTTATACTCTATCAAAATCGAAAACGGACACATGCATACCTTGTAATTCATTTCCCATATCAGAAGCAACCAACTTAGCCATGGCCGCCGCCTCCTCCACTGTTGCCTCTGCCAACGGATGAAAACAAATATGATCCACTACTCCGAACCGAGGATGTGCGCCGAGATGCGTCTCCAGGTCTACCGCTGCAAACGCCGCCTCCGCCATCGTCTGTACAGTCTGCCGTATCGGGCTGTACAACATATCCGTGGCATTATGGTGCACAATGTAGGAGACAAGAGTGTATCGGACTCGATTGTAGGCTCGGTCCTCGAACTTGTTCACGATCACCGCATCTCGGTCAAGCCTTGCGGCGCGCTCGATAGACTCTAGGGCCATCGTGTTGCGGGATTCGGAGATGTAGATCTTGCAGCAGATTAGCTTGGAGTAGTTCTTCATAGCCATCTTGCTCTTCTCAAAGAAAATTTTGATCACTCGTGTTAAAACACAATAGTTATGGTTGACAATGTTGATTCTTCACTTTCATAAAAGTAAGAATTAAGAGAAGAGGAGGCTGTAAGAAAATTTTAATAAATCATGACGTGCGTAGTAACGAAGGGATATAATTAGTTTGAGGCATATTAGGGATCAATTTGGCAACTCTTTATTAAACCGGATTTTGGCCTAATCTAGTTTAGTTCTGAATCACCTTTCCTTGGACCTAACTAAACCAGTTTAATTAAGATCCAAATACTAAACTAAAAAGAAAAGTTTAGCCCTTAACCAGGTTATTTTTTGCTAAGCTCGTAAGTGGGAGAGTTGCTAAACAAACGCTGATATTTGGATATTGTTTTAGTTGATATATGTAATGAACAGAGAATTATAGACACTTACAAGTATACGACGAGGAAGAGAAGAATATGCTTAGGGTTGTTCGTTTTCAAAAATTTCTTAGAAATCTACTGAAAATATGGAATCCTTCAGTTTTTCTTTTCAGAATGAAAATATAGTCACAAATTTCACTATTTCTTTTGATCGTAAGTGGAATGGAAAAAAAAAGTGAAATTTACTTTAGAGTTTGCAAATTCCAAGGTTAAATATTCTTCTCTCTACGGTAGGAATTTACTCGAAAAAAAGATGTATAAATAAAAAGAGATTTGCTAACCATTTTCCTAAGGAGGCGAAAGAAAGAGAGGTGAGGGAG